AGCAACAAATAATATAACAGAAATAATTTTCTATCAAAAAAAAAAAAAAATATACACAAAGGGTTTTCCAATAAGAGATGTTATATTGAATAGCAAGCTCTGGCAGTAGATGGCACTTTCGAAGCTGTGATATTTTGAAATTTTTCAAGTAAAAACATCGCCAGTAATAAAAATGGATCGACACAGGTTTCAGAAACGCGGTGAAGTTATTAAAATACAATATAAAAATGGTAAACTCCCCGCAGAAAAGGTTCTTAAAAAAATACTTTTCGGTCACCATCAATCACCTTTTCGAAAGGCAGACAGAAATTGGGGAAAAAAATGGAACTGTTGGGATAAGTTAGTTATTTTAGGAACAAAACACGTACACACCGCTCGAGAAGAGCTGAGAATATTGCGGTCTTAGCACAAAGTGTTAAAGAAAGCGATAGAAAGAAAGAGAAAAGGTTATTCCGCTCTTCGTAGTTATTTGGATTCGGCCATTCGACAAACTTAAATCTTATGACTTATAAAGTTCAGTTCAAACTAGAACTCAATCCGGTCGATCATCAACAAATCGTGATGATCAACAATGTCGTGTCTTTACGGGAATATCATATGATCTTGGCGATGGCTACGTCATTAAGCAAAACTGTCACATATGGCTCACGTTAAACCCAAGATTTGATGTTGAAAACCTCTTCATCCTGAAAGTGTAACTTCTTGGTGCAATTTACGGTCCGGAGGGGTCATTGGACCTTACCTTTTTAAAAGCTAGACTGTAGCAATAGTTGTGGATATGAAACTACAATATCGACAGATTAGAGGGATAATCTATAAGTCCAACAAATGGGTGAACGAAAACCAGTTACAGTCCGGACTGCCCTGAACCCGAAACCGCTGAACTTGCCTCTTACACTAAACAGCTACAGATATATTCATCAACTGCTATAATATTGCTTTAATTATTTAAAGCAGTGAGTAAGTAGTCTTTGATACAGAAAAGCGTGTCAGAGGAATCAATGTTGGTGAAATGTGTATCAAAATCGTTGCACAAAGATCTAAAAAGGTTCTTGTGAGCATCCCAGTTTTCTTAACGCGAATAGTAGAAATTGCTTTTGTACAGATTCCGCCTTACATTAAAAAAGTACTCGATCATTTATATCAAATATAAATATGAACATAACCTATATATACACACATATATAAACTAATACATAAAAAGAAGTGTATAAAAATAATCATAGTTAATTTGATATTTATCACGAAATAAATGTTATTACCTTTTAAAAAAAAGTTTTTTGAAATATATAAAAATATATTTGCAATTCTGTTAAGCATTAGTAGTTCTGAGTAAATAAACATACCTCACACCCTCCCTTTAAAATACCAAAAATCTTGAATTTATGCTCTCCAAATTCTAGATTACTAAAAGCGAAAAGTATTTACCAACACATATGTCAATATTTTTAGGCTGTGTATTTGTATACACATACGTATATATTTAGCGCTTTAATACCGTTGAAGCGATTTTCGGCCGAGTTTCTCCTCCAATTTTGTTGTGTGAGTCTTGATGTTTTCTCAGAATATGAAGCGACCTACAGTTGTATCAAAGCGGACTCGGACTCGACTGCTATTGAATTTTAATAGAAAATATTTTCTTGAATGTTAGAAATACGCTCGGAAGGTCGAACATTTCCTGAAAATTAGAGAACTCGTCTCGGCCAGAGTTCGAACACATGCCATTCCTCAGGCTATTTCGTACTCAATGCCGCTCGCCAAACCCTCTGTCAACGCTTTCAGGTACCCCTTTTTAATTCGAAAGCTTTATTGCATGCCCACCAAGCCACCAAGGACACACAGCGTGAAATTGTGTCCTAATGTACGTACACAATTTTTATGAGCGAACAAGATAATTATTTACATATGGATGCATACATATTTTATTTTTAGTAAATTATTGCCACATGAAATACATATACATACATACTAAACACCACATGTGTAAACATATCATAAATGAGTCTATTGTTGGAGCATATGTGTGGGTAAGTGTGGGAGCACATGAATTTCACACATGGACGCACATCGCATACAGACGCACCACTTTTGCTGCCACAACTGTTATTACTGGCGCTGCTTCCGGTTGCTTGCGCACTTATAAATCACACATATACATATATATGTGTGCATATAATAAGTGTTATATAAGAGTAGGCGAATATGTGTGGCATACAGGTGCAGGTGTATTAGTGTTTGAGTGTGTGTGTATGCCGGTGTACATCCATCTATTTGGTTGTCAGTTTGTCGCTCGGAGTGAAACAGAGCAGAAAATTATGCAATGAAAATTTTGTGTAGCATCGCATGCACCCATAAGTACATATATACATGCATATATACTTATATGAATTCTCCATATGAAGCATTGCAATTGAAGAATGCTTATAGATTTACGGATACGCACGTAAAAATGTAGCGCGAATGTTGTACCTCGGTGTAAGTCAACGTAACTGAAAATCAAACCACACACATGTACATATCTATAAAATATTTTGTCATAAAGCCTATTGCGCAGCGAAAATTTTCCCTTCACTCAATAATTGCCGAAAAAGTGATGCTAATTTAATTTGAAAATGTCTCATTTATTTCTTTTAACGTTTGAGAGCTGCTTGCTATATTTTTTTTTGTATCTCTTAATTTTTTTTTTATTATTTCATGCGGAAAATTTGCTTTTCGGCGGAACTTTGAGTCCTTGGAGAGCTAATTCTTTATCTTGTTGGACGTACAAAAATGTGTACAAATTTAAAAAGCATGAAATTAATGTACAAAACTAATTAATACAACATTTTTAGTGCTCCCCGGAGGGAGAATGGACTTGGCTGATACATCTTAAGGCTTAACTCAAGTAAAAACCTAAAAAATGTTTCTTTGTATAAGATTTGAGGTTAACAGTATGGAAAGTATAGAACAGAGTTATCTTTTAGAGTGTTGTCTTTATATTGGAAATTATGACAAGCTCATCAAGCCAACCAAGATCTCATGTAATAAAAAATTTTCACAGCTTTATCAGGAATATATCTCTTATACCAGGATTATATTTATTGTTATAGTAAGTAGTCTTAAGACTACGTTGAAGGAGGTAACCCTTCTCCTTCTTTCATCACATGACTATGAAGAGAATAGGAAGTCGGCATTAGCCAATGACTTACCAGCTGAGTATTGGTGCTGAAAAATTGACAAGGTATGTGGTCAGTATTTTTTTCAAAATTTTGCTCGGATAAGCGCTTACGAGTCTAGCCTTTTCCACCTCCCAACCGTCTTATGGGCGCACCGGAATGGTAATCAACAAATCCAATAGACCGGTGATCGAAAACCAGTGACTCTCCTAACTGCCATGAACCTGAGACGAAGCGCTGAAGTTTGCGTTTACATATATCATTTACACTGAATAGCTGCAGCTACTGCCTAAGAGCTGTTAAAATCAACACCTGCAACACCATTAATTTTGGGTTAAGCCTCCCTGCATGCTTGTATAAGGTCTTTGTCTATTTTAAAGCTATCTGAAGCTGAACAATGCAAGAAACTCAGTCCGATTTAAGAAAGATCTCTCCTAGCCACACTAAAGTAAGAAATAATGGAATTACAATAGATATGGCCTGGAAAGATAAGGTTTCCGCCAACAGGCCAATGTAGAATCGAAGCCCTCAAAGATGTGCTTCGTGAAGCTTTTCGCTATCTGGTAATGGAAAAATTATTGATGGCATATCTTCTTTATCTCTGGACATTGTAATAAACATCCTCTTATTAATCTTAAAAAAATGTTTTTTTTTCTTTCGGAGTATAAAAATGTCATTTCTTGTTGGAAAACCGCTTATAACAGTTATTTGGCAGCGTTGTATGTGTAACAAAGTACCAGTCTGGCTAGCTCGGCAGTGTCTTTGTTACTTAGTAATATTCAAATCAACTTTGTATTTTGTTTCGTTGCCTAAAAAGTTTATTTTCTTCGTTTAATTAATATTTTGACAATTTTTGATTTTGCATCTATTCAATGCATTCCCTTTCTTTTATAAAAAGGGAAAAGACTGTTTGGAAAATACTCATTACATTACTGAAATATTGCAAAAAAGAACTGATCGCTTTGCTTTTCGGAAAAATTGCGAAAAATTATTTTGTATTGGCTCTTGAGGCCATGACGTAGAAAAGTTCGAAAATCACTGACCTAGCGGTAAAAACGAATAGGAAAGCTCTCCATGGATGTCGCTGAGAAATTATAAGTTAAAAACTTAAATTAAACTTATAGTAAACGGATATTTGTTTGTAGTAATTTATTTACTACAAAAATAATAAGTAGTAAAGAATTTAAGAAAATTAATTAAAAAATATTTAAAATATTTACCAAATAAAAGGTTATCAATTCATAGTTGATTTGAAAGTTTTGTTGAAAATATTTGTGCTTAACAGCATAATAACATACATATGTACAATATTTCACATGGAATTCATCATTTATTTGTGGCATACATATTTATGTATATAATATATTTTTCCGTTTGTTTATATCTACAAGTGATGGCGTGTTGTTAATTTACCTCCTAACATTTATCAATATTAAATTTACAATATTTTTATTTCTAACAGCAAAATATCTAATTTATTTTAATTTAATTTAATTTAATTTAATTTAATTACAATTACAATTATAATTCCATTAGTCATACAATTAGTTAGAAAATGCGTTGTTTTCATTAATATTATTGTTCTAATACTTTAAGTTCATACATCAATCAATATATTCATGCACACAACCAACACACGCACATTGCTCCATTCAGCCATTCTTTCGTTTCTATAATTCATTTATTTTACCACCTACATATAATCTATTTCCTTTTATATTTTACATAGTCAATTTACATACATTTAAAATGTAATTTCATTACAATGCCATTCTTTTAGTTTAGTTTATTAGCGAAAAAATCAAATTTACATATAAAATATAAAGCTGTATGTATGTATGTATATATATATATATATTGTGGTTGAACTAAAGGTCCTTCATTGTCAATAAAATGACTGTATGTGTGTGTGTGTGTATCGTTACAAATCAGTTCATTGCAATTCAATGCAACTCAATCACACTAATTTAATATTAAAACAGTGTGGCCAGACTAACATGTGAATATGCGAGTATGTACATATATTTTTATGTCAAGCAAACATTTCTATTATATGTACACATTCCTACATAGCAAGGTTTTCACATATGTTTTCTTATATTGATTTATTGTGCAACGTGTGTCCCACTGAAAGTGAGACTGCTCTTAAAGTTAAGAAAAATTGCAGTAGCCAAGCTTACAAGCAGTTGTTGGCTAAATTCTTCAGCATTCGTTACTTGGCTTTTGATAAGTTTCAAGGCAAGTTTAGGACGCTTGCAGCGTCCATAGAAAAATGAGCTTCAAACGAAGCGAAAGTATTGAGTAGATCGACACTACAAAGTTCAAATTAATAACCGATTTTCAGTTTTGTTGAAGAGGAAGTAGAAAATTTGTATTAAAGTAAATATGTTTAAGGAAACAAATATCTCGTTTTCCGTGTGACAAACCCAGCAAATATATTTTTAGTTTGCTTGTAGTTTAATTTGTGCAGAGTTTGTCTATTAGTAAAAAAAAATATACACAATACAATTACAAATATAATTACTATTTCCATATATATTTACATACATACTCGTATGTTGGTATGTAAGGTCACAGTTAAACTGCTCTCTTTTACACACTTCCACTTTTCCCACTTCCCCTCATTCTTTTCATTCACTTGCTCAATTTTCCAATCACCTGATCAACGAAGCGCCAACACTCCATCGTCGCCAATGCCACCAACACCAACAGCAGCCCTCTAGTGGCTGTCTTACTTGCTGTTGCTGCTGCTGCTCCAATTCCACCTGTCTCTGTCTCTGCCTCTGCCGCTGTCTTCGTCTCCGTCTATCGGTCTGTTTTGTTCTCTGTCTTTGTTGTTGTAATGACATTTGTTTTTGCTGCCATTGACCGCATTGCAGTGTCCACTTGGAGAGCAACCAGCCCAATGCCACGATGCACCAATTTGTTGTGGCCGCGGCGTGTAGTAACCGTTGTAGCACGCTCCGCAGCAGCAATACGAGCCACAGCCATACTGTCTGTCGCTCCAATACGCCGGTGACCAGAAGATGTTCACATCGGCATGATGTTGCTGCTAATGTTGTTGTAGCTGTAGTTGTTGTTGTTGTTGTTGTTATCGTCGTTGGCGTTCTTGTTGTTATTACCGCTGTCACTGTGGTCAAGCTTGCGGCAAGTGTGGTGAACGCGCGTTGTGCTACTCGTTGGACGATGCCGTGCAGCGGGTTGGAAAGGCGATTAGCACTGCTATTGCCGTGTTGCATGGCAGCCGGATGTTCGCCGTTGATGACGTGCACCACCACCGAGGCAGAATCTATTGGGGGATGGAGGAGAAAGATTGAAATGGATTAGACGTGGCAAAAAGTATAACTGCAAAATCGTATACACTCGTACAGTTAAAACGCTGGGTCAATGTATTTAATGAGGCAAAGTTGAGGAGATTAAAATGGTGCAATGAGCGTACGGCAGTGCTGCGCTGTGGTAGCAACGAGTGCTTGCAGCTTATTTGCATTTAATTTATTCGATTAAATGTAAACTAGTTGTTTTGCAACAATATTGCTTCGAGCGGAGAAAGCTTTTAATCGCGATTGGGGACCTGCATTTTCTACGCTGGTTCTATGAAAAGCTCAGAAATGTCACTGCTGGAGCTAAATTTTTTTTATTGCAAATAAAAATAACACACAAATAAAAATATATAATTAATGCTATAATACTTTAGGTCAATTTCTATAAGAGCGATGGGATTACTCCAGATAAACGTTGAAAATCCGATATTATATACTTAAAAAGATAACGGGAGAAGGATTTATCACTCACCAAAGTAGTGCTGGAGCGCATGTCAAAGATGAACCTGATACTATAACAGTCGATCAATCAAAATTATTGTCTCGTCGGTTTCACTGTGCGTGATTTTTCTGATTGGTCGGTGTGGAAGATCAATTGTCGAAATGAAAATCGTCAAGTTGGACCGCCATGCTTTTGAATGGAAGAAACTCGTTGTATGTGTGCCACACAAGTTCAACTACGAATCGAAACTCAATCGTATTAAGACCAATTTCTGAAGCAGATGATGACTCCTAATGAAGATTACTGCAGCAATGTCGGATGAAAACGTTCAGATGGTAGTGAACCAGGTAAGATTTACGGACAGAAACCTTTTATTGCATGCTTGGTGAGATTGGCAAATAATCAACCAATATGAGCTTTTTCACTACCAAATTCTTAAATTGCGCCATCTCAATAAACCAAACGCACAGAAGCGCCCAGCTTTAGTCAACAGGAGGATAGACCCGAACTGTTACTCCCACAATACTCCCCGAAAACCTGCTCGGGGAATTTTTGCGGTAATGACAACAGCAAAATCAACACCAAAATAGTTCGTTTGTAAGGTTATAAAGCATCCATCTTATAGTCAAGACTTCGCCCTAAATGAATATAATTTGTTCCTAAAATTGGCCCCAAGAGAGGCCTGTGAAAATTGATTGTAAATAACAGTTTGTCGGTCAATTGGGACAATGGCTGCTAGGAGTAAAACAAAATGTTTCTACCGTAAAAATTGCAATAATTGTGGTAAGTATGCCATCAATTAAATGCAAAATTATATGATCACTTTTTGCTTGTCCTAATATATGCGATACGTTTTGTAAATTATGGCAAATATTGTTTTACGGTTTTCATATAGTACAAGCAATTGGTTGCTTATAACTGCTTAAACGATTACCTCCTTCAATTAGTATTTCGTTCTTCTAGTGTTTATGTTCTTTTCCAAACAAATAGAAGGACCCACAGCATTTCTTAATCACCACCGAATGCTGACAGATTTTTTGCGTGAAGCTTTAATTTCGTATAAGAAATATGCGTAAAATTCTTGACATTCCTCACCTCAAATCTGGTGTATTAGTTTTTATTATTATATTTGGATGTTTGTCTGATTAGAATGCAAAATTTTCGAGTATTAATGTTTGCCTGATGACTACTTTCTGGAGTAAAACTTAGTCTGAGTAATGTGATCACATCTATGTCGTGCATTAAATTTATTATTTTACTTGTAAGTGTCTTACTCTCTGGTCACCAAACGCGAGTTGAAGAATGTAGCAGCACACTCTTATGGCAAACAAATTTAGAGGTTGAATCCTGGGCGTTTGAAGAGCTTTAAAAGCTGGCCGTTAAGGCTTATAACCGAAAATTCTATAATAATAACGGGAGGAAGATTCGAAACCGCGGCATACTAATACACAATGTACTCAAGAACTGCGCTGGTTATCCTCATCGTTTTTAGTGTACACCCCAAAATTGGTGATTCAGACCTCCAAATCAATAATGTTGTATAGGGAAGTGGACTTCACAACCTGGGCCATGCCGCATATGGCTATATAAACACTTGCCGAGTAACACCAAAAGCTGTCGGGAGGAAGCTCTCCTATCCGTTCAATAGTAAATGAGGTTTTAAACAGGGTAAGTATTAGCCTTATGACTTCGTCAACTTAGTGCAAAAGATAATAGTATAGACTCGTTATTACAGTTCTTGCTCTAGATGAGCTTTTCCTCCTTAGTGCAATAACCAGGAAAGATAGAAAAGCGCGGTTTATAGCAAAGTATAGCCTAACCCTCTGCTTATGCGTTGTGTCTTAAAAAAAAGCAAAAAAAAAGGTAAAAAAGTCATTGTCGTGGTTTCATTTACTACTCACAAACTAGTATTGTTAGCATACTGTCACAGCGTACAATGGTAGACACAATCATATATATTCATAAAATTAAAGAAATATTTACAGTAGGCAAAAATATATGTATATATGTATTTTAATATAAGTATACGTAAGTTTATAGCCTGTGAGCCCCCTCCGTCGCCCAAGTTCCAGCCCACCACCATGTGACAGGCCACGAAACGAGAATTGTGTCACTTGACCGCAGCGTCGAAATGACAAACGCGCAGATATAAAAAAAATGTCAAAAATACAAAAAGTTTTTAAATTAAATTATGCCAAGAACACGCGTCAATAAGGCGACTTGCTGCATCCAGGGGAATACGCAGATAAAGTAAGAGTAATAAATAAAAATGTGTAAAAATAAGTCGACACGCGGAAAGACCGTAAATAAGTAAACAATGAAAAATAACCAACAGTGTCGTGGGAAGCAGGGGCGAAATATTAAGAACAAAATTCGGTGACTAACCGCAACGCAGCACAAGAACAACAACAATAGGTTCGTCAACAAAATACCGTCCCTGTCGCCTGGTAAGCGTAATTCAATTTGTTAAGCCATTTGCGGCACCTCGCCATCAATAAACTCGCAAAAGCAAAGTGAAGAAAGTAACGAGTGTGTAAAAAATAAACTTTTTTTTTGAAGAAAAAAAAAATGCAAGAACTGACGAGCGACCAATAAAAAAGCAATGAAAAGAAATGGCGGAAAGTGACAGGCGAGACTGCGTGGCAAGAGGACGAGCGAGAGAATAAATATATTTTATAAAATTTATAAAGTACAAAGTAAAGGAAAAGAAATCACGATTGAGTAAAAGTTAGCAGTAAATCAGTAAAGCGGCATAAAACTTGCTGATTGGAGGCACAGCACACTTGTCAAACTGAGACACACTTTGTGCATGTATATACAATACATACATATATGTAGAGATGGGTAAGTGTCACTTTCAGTCGACTTTTATACACAAGCGAATTAAGTTTCACATAAAATTTTAAATTGACTAAATGTGAATTTTTTTTTGTTATTTTGTAAAAACGAATATCCGCAGCTGAGGCAAGTAAGGGTCCTGTGTGTATATATGTACATAGATACTTTTATATTTACAACGCAATTGTACATGTATAAGTGTATAAAATTGCGCAAAATTACATTTACTGCTAGATGTCAAGTCGGAGAATTATGATCTTTCAAATTTGACCTTGGACTGGCGTAAAGTGTCTGCGTCGACCGTTAACATTTCCTGTCAAATAAAAACGTCAGCCCAAACATCATCTGCGTCTGCACATTTCACAATCTAAATACAATCGTTTACGTGTGCGGCGGATTGGTATGTGTGCGCATGTTAGTAAATTACAAAAGTAAAGTCAAAATTTTGATAAATCGATGTTGTGTATAATTTATGAACAGTTCATGCGGTTCTTTGACTTTCATGCAATTTATAATTTCAGGTCTACCTGTTTTCATTGGGTGAGTAATTGAATTTGTCGTCTCAGGCATTAATGAACTTTCTTTGTTTGTTAGTGACCCGCTGAGTTATTCTGCGAAATAATGTCCAAAAATATACATTTTTGATGCTGCATTGGTTATTTTGTTTGTTGGTATTTAACAGAAAGCTTCACACGGGGTACATAAAACGGTATTTGTATTTGTATAGCTTAATTACGTCCCAAGATATTTAGATAACAGAGAAAGGAGATATAATATGTTATTGGTGTGCCATACATTGTCTATTTTCTGAGCTGCGGCCTATTTTACTTTGTCGTCTGCAAAATCATTCGCCATAGACAGTATGAGATGTTTATCATTTGGTGCAGACTATATGGTGGATGTATAAGAACCTCCCAACAAAGCTCTGGCGAATCACTATCGTCGAGCATGGTCTGCCGTTGTCGGAGTGAAAACCAATTTCCCTTCTGTCGGTCAAAGCTGAACGCTTCTGGGCGTTTGCTACCTTCACACGCTTCAACTGCTAACATTAAAGGCCCGAATCAAAAGTTCTTCTTCTTTTAATCACCAGTCACCATCCGCTATGGAGATGGGAAGATTTGGTTACGTTTCAGCAGCGATTCTTAGATACTAATACAGTCCATGAGGTTTTCTTTATGTATCACGTCTTTTTCAAGCGCTTCCAAATCACTTACTTGTGCAACATACAGCTCTTAGGTAACCGATACATTGCTCTCATAATGACTATTATTCTACAATTGGCATTTCATACTGTGGAAAATCTTTTGCACCAAAATGACCGAAGCGAAAATGACAAAACCAAAGTATCAGGTCCATAAACATTGAACACATTATCAGCGGCCTGACTAGGGTTTTCGCCACTGAGTCAAGTAGGTAACACGTCTCCTTATATTTTTTTAAGCACAATATAAGATCTTTCTAACGCCATGTAGCCCAATCCAATCACACTTACAGAACTGAAGATACAGATCACTTAAGTATCTAATCGAAAAAAAAAACTTTTTACTACACCAAATGAGAGTCAACTCCCACTCGAACTCACTCAGTTCGGCATCGCAAATGAGGAAGAAACTGTTATTACGGTCAATGCTGATCATTTCAAAGCCGTGCTCAGAGATTATATGATTTTAAATTTTTAAGCTATAGTTA